TAGTAGTAGTAGTAGTAGCAGTAGTAGTAGTAGTAGTAGTAGTAGTAGTAGTAGTAATAGTAGTAGTGGTAGTAGTAGTAGTAGTAGTAGTAGTAGTAATAGTAGTAGTAGTAGTAGTAATAGTAATAGTAGTAGTAGTGGTAACAGTAATAGTAGCCGTAGTGGTAGTAGTCGCAGTAGTAGTAGTAGTAGTCGTCGTAGTAGTAGTAGTAGTAGTAGTAGTAGTAGCCGTAGTAGTACGGGAAGTAGTACTAGTAGTAGGGAGCAGTCGTAGTAGTAGTGGTAGTCGTAGTAGTAATAGTAGCAGTCGGAGTAGTAGTTGTAGTAATAGTAGTAGTAGTCGTCGTGATCGTAGTAGTAGTAGTCGTAGTAGTAGTCGTAGTAGCGGATGAAATCGCAACAGTCGTAGTAGACATAACGATAATAGGAATGGTAAAATGAGTAACTGTACTAGTACTAGTCGTTGTAATAGTAGTAGTAGTATTAGTAGTAGTAGTAGTAATAGCGGGAATAGTAATAGTAGTGGTCGTACTAATGGTATTACTAGTAGAGATTCATGCTGGTAGTGCTGGTAGTAGTCGTACTCGTAGTAGTAGTATTTGTAGCAGTAGAAGTAGTAGTAGTAGCAGTAGTAGTAGTAGAAGTAGTAGAGGTGGTAGCAGGAGTGGTAGTAGTAGCAGTAGTAGTAGCAGTAGTCGTACGAGTAGTTGTAGTAGAAGTAGTAGAGGCAGTACTCGCAATAATAATACGAGTAGTAGTAGTCGTAGTAGTAGTAGTAGTAGTAGTAGTAGTAGTAGTAGTAGTAATAGTAGTAATAGTAGTAGTAGTAATCGCCGTAATAGTAGTAGTCGTAAAAGTATTACTCCTGATACGAAAAATTGTAGTCGTCGGTATAATACTAGTAGTAGCTGAAACTGTAGTGCAATTAAAAGTAATGGACAACAGAACCTCAACCGTAATACAACAAGAAGTAATAGTCGCAATCGTAGCCGTAGTAGTAATAATATTAAACGCGATAACAAGTCCTAGTCGTGAGAGCAGTCGGAATTAAAAGAATGGTGGTACTCGTCGTAGTAGTAGTAGTAGTAGTAGTCGTCGTAGTAGTAGTAGTAGTAGTGGTAGTAGTTGTTGTAGTAGTTGTAGTCGTAGTGGTGGTGGTAGACGTAGTAGTAGTAGTAGTAGTAGTAGTAGTAGTAGTAGTAGTAGTAGTAGTAGTCATAGTAATAAAGGTAGTAGTGGTAGTAGTAGTCGTAGTAGTAGTAGTAGTAGTAGTAGTGGTAGTAGTGGTAGAAGTACTAGTAGAATTAATACTAGAAGTAGTAGTAGTAGTACTAATAGTAATAGTAGTCGTAGTAATAATGTTGGTAGTCGTCTTCGTCGTAGTGGTCGGAATACTGGTAGTAGCAAAAGTAGTAAAAGTAGTAGTAATAGTAATAGTCGTAGTAGTAGTAGTAGTAGTAGTAGTAGTAGTAGTAGTAGTAGTAGTATGAGTAGTATGAGTAGTAAGAGTTGTAGTAGTCGTACTGGTCGTAGTAGTAGTAGTAGTAGTAATAATAGTAGTAGTAGTAGTCGTAGTAGTAGTGGTAAGGCTCGGTTATAGTAATACTGGCCGTAGTAGAGGTAACCGTAGCTAGCGTGTAACCGCAGTAGTGGTAGCACTTATCGTAGTAGTTGATATGGTTGTAGTCGTGGTCGAAACAGTGGTCGTAGTAGTAGTAAGAGTAGTAGTCGTAGTAGAAGAAGTATAGTAGTAGTAGTAGTAGTAGTAGTAGTAAATGAAATACTCCTGGGAGTAACACGATCAATGGGAAACATAAAATGTATCAGTCGCCACATCAATAGTAGATGTGGTCGTAGTGGTACTGATAGCTTGGAGTCGTAGAAGCAATAATAAAAGTGGTAGTCGCGGAAGCAGTGGTAGCGATGGTGCGAGCAATCGTCGTAGTAAAAGTAGTAGTAGTGGTAATCGCAGTAGTAGTCGTAGTAGTCGCAGCAGCAGCAGCAGCAGCAGCAGCAGCAGCAGTAGCAGTAGCAGTAGTAGTAGTAGTAGTAGTAGTAGTAGTAGTAGTAGTAATAAACAATAGTAGTGGTAGTGGTAATAGTAGTAGTCGTAGTAGTCGTAATAGTACTAGTAATAGTCGTCGTAATAGTAGCGGTGGTAATAGCAAAGGTAAGAAATACAGGTAGTTGTACTATTAGTAGCAGTGCGAATACTACGGCTTACCGTCGTAGTGGCCGCAGTCGTCGTAGGAGCAGTAAAAGAAGTGGTAGTAGTAGCCATAGTAGTAGTAGTAATAGTAGAAGTAGTAATAATAATGGTAGTCCTGATATTATTAATCGTCGAAGTCGTTGTAGTGGTTATCGTGGCAGTGGTCGTGGTAGTGGTAGCAGTAGAAATAGCAGTCGTCGCAGTAGAAGTGAAAGTAGTAGTAGTAGTAGTAGTAGTAGTAGTAGTAGTAGTAGTAGTAGTAGTAGTAGTAGTAGTAGTAGTAATAGTAGTCATATTAGTAATAGTGTCAAATATATTGGTAATGCGATTGGTACTAGTAGTAGTGGTAGTGGTAGTGGTAGTAGTAGTAGTAGTAGTAGTAGTAGTAGTGGTAGTAAGAGAAGTAGTAGTAGTCGTAATGGGCATATTAGTAATAGTCGTCAAAGTAGTAAGAGTGGTAGTAGTAGTAGTAGTAGTAGTAGTAGTAGTAGTAGTAGTAGTAGTAGTGGTAGTAGTAGTAGTAATACTAGAAGTAGTAGTCGTACTAGTAGTAATCGTAGTAATACGAAAAGTAGTAGTAGTCGTAGCGGTAGTAATAATAGTGGTGGAAGTAGTAGTAGAAATATCAATAGTAGTAGTAGTAGTAGTAGGTAGTAGTAGTAGTAGTAGTAGTAGTAGTAGTAATAGTAGTAGTAGTAGTAGTAGTAGTAGTAGTAGTAGTAGTAGTAGTAGTAGTAGTAGTAGTAGTACTAGTACTAGTAATAGTAGTAATAGTAGTAATAATAGTGGTAGTAGTAGTAGTAGTAGTAGTAGTAGTAGTAGTAGTACTAGTAGTAGTGGTAGTAGTAGTCGTAGTAGTAGTACTGGTAGTGGTAGTGGTAGTGGTAGTGGTAGTAGTAGCAGTAGTAGTAGTAGTAGTAGTAGTAGTAGTAGTAGTAGTAGTAGTCGTACTACTAGTAGTAGTAGTAGTAGTAGTGGTAGTAGTATAGTAATAATAGTAATAGTAATCGTAATAGTAATCGTAATAGTAATAGTACTAATAATAGTAGTCGTAGTAGTAGCAGTAGTAGTAGCAGTAGTAGTTGTGGCAGTAGTAGTAGGAGTAGTTGAAGTAATCGAAGTAGAAAGTGTAGTAGCCAGACTAACCAATGGTATTCCATAGCCTCGCCACACTTTGGATGATGATTTTGCTTTCAACATAAGAAATACCAGCTTCGATTCGCAGCGCCCTCCCGCGACAGTGCAATTCGGCCTTGCCGCCTGTCCCCCGAGCAACTAAGCCTGTCTTGGCGAGAGATAATCAACTCTCAACCGTGAAAGGGGGATGGTTTCCTATCCAGGGCATGGGGTTAGGGAGACAGAACGTTCCCTTACAGGACCTCATGATCATCACAATGTAGCGGGCATGGCTGTCGAGCCACCAAAGCAAAGGAACAACCATGTTTAGAACCACTCACTTCGACGAAACAATCAAACACCCTCAGGCTTATGCCCACTCAGAACACTCCCCACCCATACCCCAAGAAACCCATGCGCGCTCAGACTCACTCACTCCCTCACCCACACACGCACGATCTCACTCAGATTGAATCTCGCTCATACCGGATCCGCCACGCATTCATAGAAACACACCACACTGATATGCAATGCGAAGAGACTCTTGTTTTTCCTCCCGGGTAAGGGTCGTTACCCATGGGTGGGGGTTCGGGCGGGAAGGCAACGGTAACGGCGGCCGCCGCGTGCACCCGCCAAGGTGCGTCCGCGCCACCGACGCACCAATCGCCTGTGCACAGAAGGATGTCTTGGGGGCCCCCCCAGTACGATCGTTGGCGATACTGGGGGGGGGCGAGGGGAGCTTGCCCTGGGTAGCGAGCGTTATCCTGGGGGAAAACTGCTCACCGGGTCATGAGGGTAACGGGTATCCTGGAACCTGGGGCTCTCCCAAGACCAATTCTTCATCCTGCGTCGTTCCCTGACAGTCCCAAGCCTGTGGAGGGCCCCGGGAATCAAAACATTAAAACTTTCCTTGCGAAAGATCCAACCATATGCAGTTGTGAGTGACGCAATTGTTGGTATCATCTTCCATGGAGCTCCCAACGGGGACACGAAGCGTGTGAGGGGTGTGCCGAAATCGGTGCCGTGGTGCCACGCGCGCGCACCATCTGGTGCCTGCGGTGAAGCTCCTTATGGGGCCACGTATCGTGTGAGGGGTATGCCGGACGAAATGGGCGCGGCGCTGCCATGCGAGCGCAGCCACTGGGACCTTCGGTGGAGCTCCCTATGGGGCCACGCAGCGTGTGAGTGGTGCGCCGAAATGGGCGCGGCGCTGAAATGCGAGCGCAGCCACTGGGGCCTTCGGTGGTTCTCCCCGTGAGGCCACGAAACGTGTGAGGGGTGTGCCGAAATGGGTGCGGCGGTGCCATGCGAGCGCAGCCACTGGGGCCTTCGGTGGAGCCCCCTATGGGACCACGAAACGTGTGAGGGGTGTGCCAAAGTGGGGGTGGAGAGGAGGACGGAGAGGATGGGAGGAGGGACGGGGCAGCGGGAAGAAGGAGTGAGACGCGGGGCGCTGTCTCTTCAAAACGAAAACCCAACACCACAGGATGGTTGGGAAGAGCTTGACGACCCGCTTCTCGCAGGACACGCTTCGGCCATGGCGAAACGAGGGCGGCGGCGGCTGCGGCGGCGGCCGCTGCGGCGGCGGGGACTGCGGCGGCGGCGACGAAGAGGGCGACGGCGGGGACGGGCCAGCACGCGGGACTGTCGGCTGAAGGCAGCGGGACGGGGCAGCCTCGGGGAGCGGCGGCAGTTGGCGCATGCGCAGCTCGCCCACGCCGCCCTGCCGGAGCCTCTTCGGGCGGGACGCGAAGCAGAGCGAAGCGAGCGCCTCGTGTGCGCTCCGCTGGGAAGCCCGCCCGTGCCCATGGGGGCATGGCGTGGAGGCTGTGGCCTCGAACTGCAAGTTTTGTATCTGTCCGTCGCTTCAGCGAGGCGCGCCTGTCGAGAAAAGGATCGAGGCTCCTGATCAGGATCGAGAGCAAGAACAAGGCTCCGAATCGGGATCGAGGTTCCAAATCTTCGGACGTGACCTGTGGACAAGGATCGAGGCTCCGATTTCAATTGTTACCTGACTTCGCGCATCGCGCCCCGCGATTCTCTTCGCGCCCCTGCGGGCGACCCATGGTTCCAGGCTCAACGACTGGGGGAGACGCTCAAACCTCTGGCAGCTCGAGCATATCGCGCGCGAGATTTGTCCGCCACTGTCAGCGGCTTGAGGGCCGTCAGGTAACGACTTGTGATGACAGGCCCGTCCCAGGAAAGGGCTCGAGAACTCCTGGGGCTGGCGACCTGGAAGAATCATGAGGTCGGAGGTCTGGGGATGGGGAGACGGAGCGAGAAGGAGGTGGAAGAAAAACCACAAACATCCGACGTCGTAACAGTTCCTGCGTGGTTGCGCCGAGAATGGGGACCACGAAGAGGGTGGTTGGCACATCAGTGTTCCCGGGCGATTCTTCCGAGGCCAGAACGTCCCAGGACGGGCACAGGAAGAGCTCCAATGCAGTCTAAGAGAGAGGCGAGACGGCGAAGTAGCCCCTCGACGATCCAATCTAACTTCCAGACGGTTCCCGAAGCGATTCGGACAGCCCGCGAAAGCTCTCAGAGGACCACCGACAAGCCCTCAAAGGCAAAATTCATCACATGTCCTTCGGAAGACGTGCATGTTTAGCAAACTCGTTTCCTTCAGCTTCCCAGCTCTCGCAACGGCTCAAAGGCCCCACAGAATCGCCCAAAGACCGCCTCGAAGGCCCCCAAAACTGCCCCAAGACAACCCAAGAGGGCTCCAAAACAGCCCACGAAGGCTCCCTGGACGGCTCACTAGGACTCCAAAATAAGGAACCCAAGAGGGGGCATACGACTTCACAGTTGTAGCTTGCCCCCCAAAGATGCTCCCAAAAAGCTCCCCAGGGGCCTCCGACACGCCCCCACGAGGCCCCACATAGCCTCCAACAGGCCTCCCTCAACCTCCCAGAGAAGGCCGTAGATGTCCGCAAGAAACTGTCAAGAAAGTTTCCGGATGCCCCCCCTAGCTCCCCACCACGACTTTCAGGGACATCCCATGAGACCCGCGGATGCTCTCAAGAGGCTTATGACCCATTGCCCAAGACGGCAGAACAAGCGCCCAGGCTAACGCATTACCTTTTGACGTACCCAATCCATTTGCATCAAATGACAAAAGGAATTTGCCCAAACTTCCCAGAGCCATGCCAGTGCAGGCGCCAATATACGGTGTGCAAGCAACATGGGATGCGCTCACGCGGCACGATTCCCAAGACAACGGCGAAAGGACGAGGAGCAAGGGCCCAGGCTTAGGGAAGACATGGGGGCGAGAACCGTAGGCAGGAGAAGGACGCGCGGGGGGCCAGATCGCCAGCGCGGCAGCAACAGAGGGAAGGTGGCGGGGGGCAGACAACGACGACGAAAATGACGGAAGGAAAACGGAGAGCGTTGGTTTTGCCGGTAGCGCGAACACATGCAGCGTTGCCTGCACCATGTCGCCGCGGCGCTCGACAACATGATAAATTTGCTTAGTGTAAATGCAAAATCCGAGCGAGGCCTAGCTCGCCCGCCAGATTCCCTGCTTTCTTCCTGCACGCTTCAGTGCGGGAGCTAAACGCTCAAAGGCGCGCCGCCAGGCCCCCCGGCAACCCTCGACAGTGGAAAACGTTTCGCGCATCGCAGCACCCCAGGGATGGCGAGGTCCAGTCTGAATCTAGGTGGTGCCTCACTCCGCTGGAACCCCCAGCAGCCCTCGAAAGTGGCGACAGGCTAGCAGATCGCAGCCCCCCAGGGACGGCGAGGTCTAATCTGAGTCTGGGTGGTGCGTGAGATTCCCCCCCCTATAACCCCCCCCGGCCAGGCCCAACTGTGGCCCCCGTCGGTCCGCCGCCGTTCCAGCCATTTGACAGTGGGCGCCATTGCCCACGGGGCCGCGGGCCACGCTACCTTTGAGGCCATTTGACAGTGGGCGCCACCGTCAACGTGCGTGAATGGGAAGCGCGTCGCCGACTTTGACACCGCGGCGCACTGTCAATGGGGCCCGCGGGCCCGCGGGTCCCATGGTCCCACAAACCGCCTTCGAGGCCATTTGTCCGCGGGGCCCACTGTCAAAGGGCCCCATGCCCCCAGGGGCCTTTGACAGTCCAGCCCACTGTCGACCAGGGACCTGGAGTGCCATGTCACAGTGGGGCCCACTGTCAAACGGGAAACTCCCATGTCAAATGGCCCCCAATTCGCACAAATGTGACATCCTCGAAATATTGATGCGTCGCTGTGCGTAGCATCGCAGATTGGCGTGATGTATTGTGCGAACTTGTTTCGCTTCGTCGCCTTCTCTAACTGCCCAAAATAGCCCAAGGGGCCTCGGATACCGCCCCCACGCGACACATAATGCGTCCAAATGCTCGCCAATACAGCCCGAGAGAGCCCCAATACAGCCCACATGGCGTCCAAGACGGCCTAAACGAGCCCCAGAAGAGCCCCAGTAACGACCCAGGAGCGGGGACACGAACTGGCAAAGCGAACCTTTCTACCCAAGTTCGTCCCCAAAACGCCCCACAAAAAAGCTCGCCAGAGGCCGCGACGCCGCCCCAGACCGCTCAGAGACGCCCCCCATGAGGGTCCTAGGAGGCAAAAAAACACTCTGCTGAACTTGAAGTCGTCATCTCCACTGCTCGCGCAAACATCCCACCCACCCACCCGCAACTTGGTTTGCAAAACCTCTCGGGACCGACTACGACGACACCGACGACAACGACTACGACGACACCGACGACGTCTCCGACGACTTCGACGACGACAACGACGCCGACGACGACGCCGACGACGAAGACGACGACGACGACGCCAACGAAGACGACGACGAGGGAGGAGGAAGGACGACGACGGCGACAGCGACGACAGCGACGACAACGACGAGGGAGGAGGGAGGACGGCGACGACGCGAACGACGAAGAAAGAGGAAGGACGGCGACGCCGACGACGACAACGACGAGGGAGGAAGGAAGACGACGACGACAACGACGACGACGACGACGGCGACGAAATAGGAGGGACGACGACGAGACGCCGACGACGGACGACGACGACGAGGGAGGAAGGGGAAGGACGACCACGGCGACAACGACGACGGAAACGACCACGACGCCAAAGAGGACGACGACGACGAACACGAGGAAACACAGAGGACGACGTAGACGACGACGACGACGACGCGGGAGGAAGGAGGACGGCGACGACGACGACGACGACGACGCAAGAGCGCGCGCGCACGCTTTTGTTGAAAATCCGTGTGGCGAAACATTGGGTGTTTGTAGGTTTTTTGGACACACGATTTTGAAATCATGCCGAAACCGATGGGTTTTGAAGGATTTCGGCATACGCGCGCGACGACGCGCGCGTCTGCACTTCGTCCCACTTTTTACACAGGATTCTCGCGACGGCATACGCGCAAAGGCGTTCGACAGATTTCGACATGCGCGCGCGAAGCCCGTTTGATAGCATTGTGTGAAAATCTTGGAAAACCTAAGGTGTTCTTAAGATTTCGCAAGAGCTCGCGCGGAAATTTGTTTAGCAAATCAGTGTTGCGAAACCCTGTGTTTTCCATTTTGGAAATTCGATTGCGAAATCCTTCCGGCACCGAAGGTTTTTGTAGGATTTCGGCATGCGCGCGCCACGACGCGCGAGTGTGCACTTCGTCCCGTTTTTTTCAAGGGATTCGCGAAAAAGTGCTATGTTCGAGCAAGAAATGTCACCGCATAGTGTTCTTCACACGGGAACCTCAGGGGGGGATACAGGCCGGCTTGGGATAGTGTAAATTCATATTTAAGATGGACATGTGGTCAGAAACGTGTATATATATATATATATATGATTTACATACCCGAAAAAAGGGGTACCGATAACGCCGGGGGGGGTAGATCCTATTCGATTTTGAGAAAGGAGAATCAAGACCGTTCCCCAAGTGCTTCGGAGGGCGTTGTTTCATCGAATTGTTTGGCTTCCCGCTTCCCAAAACAGCTCAAGAAACTTCCGATGTTGCTCCCAGGCGGCCAGAGACGCTCCCAAGAGCGCGCCAAGTCGGCCGGGGAGAGCCCAACGACGGCCCCAAAGGCGTCCGCGACCGGCCAAAAGAGCCCCAAGAGAGCTTCAAGAATCGCCGACACCGCCGTCGTCCAAAGAGGAAGCCGTCGTCTGGACAAGAGTGTCAGCGCCCGTGCAGTGGCCCCATCTCTCGCGCAATCATCACCACGACCACCCACGCCAACGTCGCCACGCTCGTCCTCCTCAACGCACTAGATCGCCGTCGCCGTCGCCATCGTCGGCATAGCCAGCGTTGCCCCTGGCGCTGTCAACAGCGCGAGCATCGCCACAGCCCGCGACGCCACCGCCGTCACCATCACCAAGCCCCCCCCCCCCCTCAAACAAAACAGAACGCAAAATAACGGCCATCGCATGTGGTCGCAGCAACGCCCCCGTCGCCACCAGTATGAGCATCCTCGTCAACACCCCGACGCCGCATCAGCATCACGCGCGTCCGATCACCGCGTCCCGATGCATGGTCGCCCCCCTGCATCATCGCCGTCGCAAATCCAATCCCTTTCGCGTGGCTCGACGCCCACACTGCGATCAGCAACGACAAATTGCTAGAATCGCCCCATAATCAATAACAGCTCCGACATCGCGAACGCCATGTCCATGGCCGCCGCCGTCAACAGCACCGTGCACCCCCGATCCAAGGTGTACTTCGGTACTCGCGAGCATTGACGTCGCCGCAATCGCGCGCGCCGTC